TTGTTTTTGTTTGAGAAATGAGTAACAATACACTCTTTCCATCTCTTTTGGTCAAGAGATTTGGTCAAGTTTTCAGATTTGCTACAGTGCCAGCCTGAGACCGAGCTTCTATCAGCACCGGTACATGTGGGAGTGATTGGGAGAAATCATGGAGAAGGTTGTAAAACCAATGTCTCAAACGACCAGGATGCGATGTAGCAGTTCCACTAAGCAAGGCAGAGGCAAGGGATATGCACGGACATTGTGGCAGAATGATTGGGAACATCAGGGAACATCAGCATAGACATCTGTACACAAGTTTTTGGTGGATATATAGATGTATTAAGGTCTTGCCTGATATTATGAATTTTAGAGTTAAAAAGTATCCAAACTTATTACATCTCTCATTTGATGCTAGTACAGGGGCCATATATGTACGAAACTTAGTTTGTCAACTATGGCAAAGAGTATTTTACTGTTGTTAATATTATTGTTAATAGTGCTGGAGAAGAAGGATTGTCTAGCTTTGCATAAAATTGTCATGCAGCCTATCTTTGAAGATTTCTTTGTAGATATGAAGCTTTTTTGGAGTTGAACTGTAGTAGCAGTTCTCCATGGCTCTTTCTGTTGGCATGACATGGTTTTAACTTTAACTGGTGCAATCTCAACCACAATACTGGCAATTTTCGAGTTTTTAAACTGATCACACTCTGTATTCTCAGACAACACGTTCACAGGATCATAATAAAATCTACAGTAAAGTTTCTTCTTTTTCAAAGTTTGTCAGTTATATTGTGTCTAAAACGTGATCATCAGTCTCACAGCCTCAACTCAGAGAGTCACAGTAAAAAATACTCGTGTACCTTTTTTGATTTGAAGTTATCCAACAAAATATCAACAGAATCAGGTGGTTTGCAGGGTTCAGAGCACATTTAGTTAATGAAAAGTGTAGCTGTGTTTTCATTTATAAACCTTTTCTTTAAGCAGATGTGTCTGGTCTTGATGTCTAGTGAGGTCCACGTTTCAAAGAAAACGGTAATGATCTGATGAAGCGACATCGTTAACAGTGGCTGACATGTTGAGACCCTTTGAGATAACCATATCCAGAGTGTGACCATGACACTTTGTCAGATTGTGTGTGAAATAATTATAGTTACCAGAGGAATTCATCACAGTAAAGAAAATCATAGCTGTATAAACTGCTGTTGTTATTAATGGTAGAAGTGTTCCATATGGGTATCAATTAACTTCCACAGTTTGCAGGATGTGAATATAATGTTTACTGTCTGCAAAGTTCATTTAAGCTAATGTTATGGAGCTAATGGACAGTAGGGCTGTAACTAAAAATGATTATTATTAATTTAGTAAACTACCTGTTATTTAATTCTTAATCAAGAGTAACCCCAAAACAGATTTAATTAAACAGTAACAAACTCTGCAGAGCCTTTCAGGGATTCTAAACTACTTTATTGGAAACAGATAACTAGGAAGTCTTTTATAATCATCTAACCATGAAATGCATGCAATTTATTGTAAACCTTATTCCTTACACAGTTCACAAAAGACGTGTAAATGTGCACTAGCGGAGCACACTGTGATCAGTCTCAGCACTCAAAACTTATTTTCTCTTAATTATTTAATTTTTAAATATTGTTTATTTGTACATCATTCTGTTCTGTACAGGTCTGCTTATTCTTAGACCGACAAATGAAGCAAACTGTTTTAAAGGTAGGAGGATTGTAGTGTGAGCACTGGGGTATCAGGTGTGACTGTGTGGCATTTGCAAATAGTTTCCATGGTCCAAGTATCAGGTAGGAATTTTGCCCAGGGATGTCAGGACCGACTCAGACAACAATGATCAATAATGTTAAATAAAGGTATGGTAGTTGTGTGTTGGTAAACATAGCTTGCTTAGTTTTTCTAAGGTGATGTGATAGAGAAAGGTGAGAATGCCAACTCTCAATATATCGATCCTTGGTTTTGAAAATCACATCCAAGGTATGTTTAATTCGACATTGGGCTGACACAGTTTAGTCCGCAAGTGTTTTTTAGTTGCTTCTCTGTCCACACACTGTTCTCAACTTTTTTACCCCTTACCTGCTGGCATCCCTGAATATACATGGATCCTCTTACTCATTCCTTCTCTTTCTTTGCCACACTTTACATTTTCCCAATTTTAACTCCACCTTTCACCCTTTACCTCAGTCCCTCCTCATTCCACATTCACTCAGTGGTCAAAGCAATTGCAATGCTGTCCTTTGAGGTGCACCTATTATGTGTCCTTACTATAAACAACCAGTTGGAAGTTATGATGCATCTATTTCAGGCTCTACTTTTGTATTGAGAACTTACTTGTCTGATTGTAGCAGGTTTTGTACTGCATGTTAGTCACCATTGGTCTCTTTCATGTGTGAGCAGGTCTTATCTGTGCTCTCAGAACAGATGTATTAATTGTGTAGTTGCTCAGATCTGCTCATATGCAGCATGATTTACTATTAGATACAGCTATTAGAACTAATGTTCTGTTCATTCAGTGTAGACTGCAGCCCTCCTGACTTCCTTAACATGCTTTCCTTCATTTAATTCTGTATCTGCTGCAGTGCGAATGGTCAGTAGGCATGTTCAGGACCTGTCCACCCCCATTTCAAACCATTGATTTAGACCAGTGTTTGGTCGGAAAGAATACTGAATAACTCCTGAAGTAGAATTAGTGTTACTTCAAAAATCATCTGAACAACTAAAAAAAAAGAAAAAAAAAAGAGCAAAATAGGAATTAATTTAAAGATGCTGTTTCCAGTTTAGCACGCAGAGCGGTCAAACTTGAGGCATTTTCACCACTAAAGCTGGCAATATGATAAAGTAGCTGCTGATACATTTTCACAAACAATATGAAAGCTTTAGATCTCACAATGAATTGTTTAGCGTTAATAAAAACAGATATAAACATACTAAAATATATAAATATATATTATTAATATCATTAACTAAAAAAAGAATTTGGTGAGCATAAATAGAAAATAATTAGGTTTGAGTCGCACCAAATTAATATTAAATGAATATAAGATTAAACTTACTCAAAGATATTTCAGAAAAATGATACATTCAGGATTTAAATTAATTGGTTATGTGTTCTGTGTATATTCAACACCTGACCAGTAGTTTTAAAATTAATGTCCTGAAATTTCTATTATTACATTCTATTTTAAAGATTAGATACTATTATACAGGGTGATTCATCCAATTTCGAAGTGCCATATTTTTACAACCGTGAGGTGCCAAGGAACCAATCACATACCAATTGAAAGAGGGGGTCATAGAGTTTCTGTCACCAGAAGATGGCTCCCATCAGTCTGCGAGGAGATGGCAACCCCTGAGCAGAAAGCATTTTGCATTCTCCACTTCAATAGGCGTGAATCTGTCGTAACTAAGCAATGTGATTTTTCGTGGGGGTACGTTAAGGATTCTGTTTGCTCAATCGAGTATGGGATGCATTTGACTATTGCGCTGATGTCCGTACAGCTGGAAGAGGTCATATTGAGCACAAATTACATAATAAACTATGCTCACTTAAACCTTTTACAATTTACTGCATTGTTCTGTAATGATTTACAAGCGAAATAAATCATTTTGAAATCGGATGAATCTTTTTGAATCACCCTGTATTCTATTATTAAGATTAGACAGAAATATCACTAGTAAGTGTTGTAGTATCCAGCTACATTTGCTTTATGTGTCATTTGTTTGTTAGGCAACTAGTTAAGCAGCTAACTTAGTCTAGTTCTTATTATCCTCATCATCATTATCAAGTTATTATTAGATCACAACATTCACCGATGCAGCTCTTAATGGGGATAACTCACATCCACAATTCAACCATTCTGGAAGAAGAAGGTAAACTCACTGCAGTGTTTATTCTTTGCGTTTATTCACTGACACAGAGAAGAGTGAACATCACAAACACAACAACTACAGCTTCAGATTCTTTCCTTTCACACAAACATGAAATAGCACTTAACTTCATACAAAAGAAATACAGGCATATAAAACATATTTAAAAATATACATGAACCTAATATGCTGAAATGCTAAAGTACACAGTCACTATGAACAACAAACAAACCTCCCTTGATTTTTTTCTTTTTTTAATATGTCTGTTTAGTATGTTACATGTCATTCATGTGTGCACTCACTATGATAGATTCCCTGTATGTGCAACATACATAGCAAAATAAAGTGATTCTGATACTGAATTAGATGATATTATGGAACCCCAGAAAGAGAAGTCTTTATCTGTTATATAGTGTGGCAGAATACTATAAACAGCTGTACTACCAGTTGTTGCCAAAGTGAACTGCAAGATATAAGTAAAGCAAGGTACATTTCTGATGTGAAATATCCCCAAAAAGAGAAGACCACAAATAAATAAAAAAGGAAATAGATTATAAAATGTAATAGGAAAAATGTTTTTTCAGGATTACAGAAACATGAAAGAAAAATACAGTAAAAAGAATGGATAAAAACTGAGACGATTCATCTCAACAGGTCAAGATGTTCACACAAACACACATAACCTCACACATAAAAGGCTTAACTAAGGCAAATGAAAGACATCAGAAGAAAATCAGCAGGCTAATACTCTAAGAGTTGAGAAACTGAGAAAAGAGGGGGTTGAAAGCACCAGCTGTTGCCTATTTTCAGTTTGTTGTATTGCAGTCCTTCAAACTCCAGTGTCTCCATTACAAAGCTGTTCAGTTCTGCCCAGCAGAGCAAAAGGTTCTCTGCTGCAGCTTTCAGGGTCATTGAAGTACCACAAAATTTTGTTATTTTAAGCTCATGCTTTAGAAACAGCATAAAACAACAGTAGGTGTTTTCTCCTCTAAAAACAGTGATCTTGATTTTTACATCTGGGCTGGAAGCACCATTCCCTCCAGACTTTGCTCTCGAAATGGTGTTATGGTCATTACTGTCCATTTCCACCACTGCTCCTCATGCACTTGTGTGTCGTCGCAGTCTTTAAATACCTGAAACTCTTCCCACACTCTGAGCAGTGATACGGCTTCTCTCCTGTGTGAATGCGCTGGTGTTCTTGGAGATGACACAGCTGAGTAAAACTCTTCCCACACTCGGAGCAGTGATACGGCTTCTCTCCTGTGTGAATGCGCTGGTGTCGATGGAGAGAACTCTGTTGAGTAAAACTCTTCCCACACTCCGAACAGTAATATGGTTTAAATCCTGTGTGAATGCGCTGGTGTTCGCGGAGAGTACTCTGTCGATTAAAGCTTTTCCCACATTCTGAGCAGTCATACGGCTTCTCTCCTGTGTGAATGCGCTGGTGTTGTTGGAGATGACTCTGTAGAGTAAAACTCTTTCTACACTCTGAGCACTCAAATAGCTTCTTTTCTTTGTGAATGAGCTGGTGTTGTTTGAGATGACTCTGCTGACTAAAATTCTTCCCACACTCTGAGCAGTGATACGGCTTCTCTCCTGTGTGAATGCGCTGGTGCTGTTGGAGAGTACTCCTATGATTAAAACACTTCCCACACTCTGAGCAGTGATACGGCTTCTCTCCTGTGTGAATGCGCTGGTGTATTTGGAGAGTAGTTTGTACAGTAAAACTCTTCCTACACTCTGAACAGTGATAGGGCTTTTCTCCCGTGTGAATGCGCTGGTGTTGCTGGAGATTACTCTGACGATTAAATCTCCTTCCACACTCTGAGCAGTAGTGAGGTCTCTTCTTGCTGTTTTTCTCTGTTTGTCTGTGAGATGAGTTAATGTGCAGGGTGCCAGATGATATTTGCTGAGTACCGGAATGTCTTCTGGAAGCCATATTCTTATATTTAGGCTGTTTCAGCAGCTTAACACTACTCCAATGGATGTTTATGGAAGTATGTTTGAGCAGTGTGGGAAGGCGGACCTTAGGAGCAGGACTTGTCAATCATTTCTAGAAGAAGGAAAAAAATCTAAAGTTTAATGTGAGATGCAACAAAAGTTGTTTAATTAAAACCAATAATCAACTAAGTACCCAAACACAGACACAGACCACTGACGTCATGTCGTCATTATGCCCATATTAGTAACTATGGGTCTAAGCTGTATTTCTGTATAGTAAAAATGGCACCCTGGTTTCAAACTCAATAGGCTTTATCCATTTTTCCCATAAATGTCACTGGATCCTCTGGTTTACCAGGTATTTTAGGAGCCAAAACATAATTTGTTATGTGCAATGTGTTTAGGGACTCAAAAGGCATTACTACAATTCAGCTACAGACAATTCCAGAACATAATTTGTGATCCTCTTAGGGTGTTTACTCTTCACAGCCATGGGCTCATTTAAACAGCTGATTGAGGATCTGAAACCAAAGATAATTTGCTCTTACAGATCAAGAGAAGACAACAAAAGATATAAGAACACTTCCTGCTTGTAATTTCACTGTTTGCAATAGCATTAAGAAATGAAAGTTAAGGACATCTGAAAGACCAAGAAAAATCTCTAGGGGAAAAAAATAAAAAACTTCTTCTAAACTGGTTAGGTATGCAAAGCAAAACAAACAATACTGCCAAAGACCTGCAGAAAGATTTGGCACGGGAACAGTGATGCACTAGCCTACTGTGCAGTGCTGTTGCACTGTTGCATCATCTACATGGTAGAATTATAAGAAGGTAACTGATCTCATCACAATTGACAACATCTGAAGTTTGCAAATTACTCTCAGATAAACTAGAAGCATTTTGGAATCTGTAGTGCTGTGGTCTAATGAAACTCAACTTTTTGGCTCAAACTTTTGCACATGCCACATTTTATTATATTTTTATGTATTCAACTTAGGAAATAAATGGTAATATTGCATTTGTGTTTGTAGAAATATGTCATATCTAAGTTTATTCTATGGAGATGCTGTATTACATTTTTATTCAGAAAAATCAGCCAGGGGTGCCTAAACATTTGCATGTCTGTATAAGAAATGCTCTGAGAATATGGTGGCAGATGCAAATTGTTTATCTGTAATATGTTTGTATTTCTCTTTGTTTTTTTGTGTTAAACATGAAATGTTTATTTATAAGATTGGCCCAGAAGGCTTTGTGCATGTTTTCTTTTTTTTGTATAGGCTGCAGTACATGAAGGTAGTTGGCTGCATGAGGAGATGATTCCATATGACATATTTCTCAAAACTGACTTATGTACAGAATCGCTTAGTGCGGAGCATTGCTATAGTGTTCTTAAACGAGCATTGTGGGACTGTATTGACATATGTGGGATAACCAATCAAAACTTTTTTTTACTGAAGTCAACAAACTCAGCAATAAGCTGATTAGAGGTCTTAGGAGCTTGACTATGAAGCCAGGTTAAATGAAGCCATGGTGCCACTAGTATTTCCAACATGGTGCCAGCACTCTGACAGGGTTTGTTTTCACCCAAAAGGGGGCATGGTCATTCGGACGGCAGGGCAATGACTTATAGTATCTTATCGCAACAGACTTGAGAATTAAGAGTATGTTTAACGAATTCTCATTATACTTATCACTATGACTAAAAGGCATTCATAGGCATTCATTCCCCCACCAAGTGCTGTGACAACAACCAACGTCTTCACTTCGTTACATTAAACTATAAGTATTTTTGTGCTGTTTGCAGTGAAGGAAAACTGACAAACATTTACACTAAAGATCACACTGGCCAACCAAAATGGCGAGCGTGATCTGTAGTGTTTGAGGCACTGACGATAAACTGCTAAAATGTAGGGATACATTGCTCTTTCGCTGCGGTAAGAAGGAAATTCATATCATCACAGCCCTAACTCAGGTGCTTTTGGTTTTGATATTTAATATACTTCCATTGCATATAACCACTTAAAATTGTAAAAATATTGGTAATGTCTTTCGACTTTGATCTTCCAAATATGCAAGAAAAGGTATATTCTTAAGCATAAACAAGTATGTTTAAAAAATAAAATAGATGAAAAAAAATATTCAGACGCTATATTTAAATATACTTATATATCTACAACTTCATTTCCAAAAAAGTTGGGATGCTGTGCAGAATGTAGATAAAAATAGAATGCAATAAAGTGCAAATCATGTAAACCATATAAAATACTACAGACAACATATCAAATTTTATTCTTTTTGGAAAAATATATGCCCATTTTGAATTTGATGCCCACAACATGTTCCAAAAAAGATGGGACGGGGCATGTTTACCGCTGTGTTTCATCACCTTTTCTTTTAACAGCACTCTCCAAGTGTTCGGGAACTGAAGAGACCGACTGCTGTAGTTTTGAAAGTAAAATATTTTCCCATTCTTGTCTGATATAGAATTTCAGCTGCTCAACAGTTCAGGGGCTCATTTGTCGTATTTTTCATTTGATAACGCGCCAAATGTTATTAGTGGGTGACAGATCTGGACTGCAAGCAGGCCAATTTAGCATGGCATTATCTTGCTGAAATAAGCAGCCCCCCCCCAGTACCAACATGAATACTGGCTGAACTGTAAGCTCATAATAAGCCTGGTGGTCTTCAGCCTGGAGGATGCAGTGTCCATGATTTCCAAAAAGAATTTCAAATATTGATTTGTCAGATTGGAATAAATACAGAGGCATTAAAATAATTCATATCAAAGTCAAAATCTTGGTATCAACCCAACACAGTTAACACAAACACATGCACAGCTTTATGCACTTACCCATTAACAAAGCTTTATCCAGATCTCTGCTGAAAATCAGTTCTTGAATCGGACATCTCAGTCTCCGAATCTGTGTCTGTGGAAAATATAAATCATAAATCACCTGTAAGTTCACACAAATCCATTTTTAGCTCTTAACACCTTTTAAACACAAGTTGTACTAACATGCAATGATATGCTGCAATATAAAACAAATACACCTCTTGGTCTCTTCAGAGCGTTTTTCATTTACAGTTGAGTGAAGGGGGGGGGGTAGATTTTGAGTTAGTGTGGCAGGTGTTGAAAAATGTTCTACTGATTTTTTTTTTTTCATTCATATAATCAGAATCTAAAATCGACTCAAATTATACATTTTTTATATCATTACGTGCCAAATGTAATGACAGGGCAACATGATCATGGTCTGTTTGAACGATAACCGTCTACACAAATAATCAAGAGTCAGGGGATTATGTAATAATTGTGAGGGATTCAGCCTAGACAAGAATTCTCTGATCATTAAAAAAACATTCCTATACATTACATTGCTGAGTGTGTGTTCTCCAGGACTGAGGTTGGACCTAACCACCTCAGCCTGACCATCAAGCTCCTGAACAGCTCTCACACACTAGACCTCAAACACCCACCATAGACATTCTTACCAGCCACTAACCTGCAACCCTAACCCAGACATTGACAACTTTCAGGCTGCACTTCATATTTTTCTATAACAAACTATTTTCTCACCACATTTGCACCAGTAATTATACTATACTCACCTTGGCTAATACCAGCATATGTCAGTCAGTATTTTTCTACATTTATTTCAGTTACATGTCCAATAAGGTATGAGCTCTTTTTGCACACAAGTAAATGGTAGATCTGTTTTAGGTGTTGATAAACTGACACTGAAGCAGAGAAAGTCATAAAGGACGAATCAGTTTTCATGACAGTGCGTTTACATTCCCACCAATAATACGATCAATAATGCAGGAGTTGACTTGATAACATTAACACACAAAAGTACAGAAGCACATGAGAAAAGCCAAAAATCACAAAAAAGACATGTTTTTGGAACTAACAAGGCAAAGTTGGCATGAAACCAAAGCGGCATTATAATCCACGAGACAAGAGCTTTATTACCACTTTAAACGAAGTGGTTGTCTAAGTAACAAACACAGTATAAAGCATGAATACATCAGAACCCAACTAGGAATCATCAATAAACCATTCTGCCCTAACAGCTCACATTACTCAGCTCTGTTTGAATGAAGCTGATTCTGTGTTGTTTAATCTATTTTAAACCCATTAAACCTTATTTTCTGAACTCAAATGTGTCTCCAGCTGTTTGTCTCAGAGTGAATGAAGAACAGTGAGTGTTAAAGTGTCGGACAGCTTCCTACCTTCAACAGCTCAGCTCTTGTTTCTGTTCCTCCATCAACACTGTATGAGCGCGAAGGCGGGGACTGCTGACCACAACACAACCTTCTGCTTCTCCGCTTTAGTGCTGTTGGAGAAAGTTACAGTTAGCGCCACCACCTGGCCTGAAGCGGCTTCACGCTGGAACCACGCGATTAGGAAAACAGGCTTAACGTATTCAGTCAAACCTCGCCTCCAGCGCTCTGATTGGGTAATAGCATATGATCCTGGCTTTATGCAGCATTGAGATACACATTGAGATTCACGCGATAAGCAGCACAGTAGCTCCTTCAGTGACAGGCTGGTTCTATTGTTTTTCTATTCTTAATCTTTATATTGTTAACTCCTCACCATCTCCATGTGTAACATAAATCAGTACCTCATGTGCAATACTCTGTGTGAAATATTTTAGCTTTTATTTATTTATAACCCTTTACATTGTTAATTTTTGTGAAGGATAGGGTTTATATTTTTTTATCTTATTTTTTACTTTTAGTATTATTTATTGTCTATATAGTAACAAGTAACAAATTGTAAAAACCTTGTTAAGTAATTATCAAGGTTAATTACTTGCTTGTTAATTCTCTTCTTGTTACTTCTTTCATTTTCTTGAGTGCCTTGCTCTCCCTTTGCTGCTGTAACACTGAGAATTTCCCCGTTGTGGTACTAATAAAGGATTATCTTATCTTATCTTATCTTATCTTAAGACAATCAGCAACGAATACATATTTTTCAAAATTATATCATCTCATCTGGACATGATGATGTAAAAAACAGCTTATTCATACTAATGTAAGTATGTGCTGTCATCCTCTAATTAAACAAAAACATTTTATAATGAATGTTTTTTCAAGGTCATGTAAAGTTACTTTAAGGACGTTTAGAGGACTTTTACATAATGTTAGTTAACATTAAGTAGCATCAGTTGTACAGGTCAAAGTACATTTACTACAGCTGGGCAGCTAGATAACGTTGTTTGCTTGCTAACTCTAAAGTTTTACCTCAGGGACTGAAGTTAGGACAGAGCCAGCTTAGAGGAGCCTGCCACTTCCTGTTTCTCCTGTTATATCAAAAACGCCATAGGGCGCCCGCGAGCGACTCCTCAATGAATGGGGTAAATGAAGCTAAACGGCTAAAAACGAAAAGTTAAACTTGTGTCTTAGCATTTGTGCGAGACCTTCCTTTAATTTGGGAAAAAGGGCTCATCAGAGCTGTGACAGTTCTTTTGTGCGCTCTCTCCCCTTCAGTTTACAGTCTGAACATGAACACATGGCCCACATTAAGCACAAGCAGCTGATGGATGCTAGAGGGGAGCTTAAAAGCGCCTTAGGTTCCAGACCAGGGGCGTCGCCTGGCCTGTGCTTTCGGGACTATGGACTAATAATTTTTAACAAGCACCGACCCATTATAAATAAGGCTAACATATCACAGGGGTGGCGCCACACCTCCAAAAGTGGTGGGGCAAAACAAGCGGCTGGCTGAGTGATGAAATGCAAATCAGGCCACTGACTAAAATCGCTTTTTATGTGATGCTAATGACGTCTTTATAAACCTACTCAGAGCTGGGTAGTAACTAGTTACATTTACTAAAGTACTTGTACTTAAGTAAAATATTGATAGTTTTTATTTCTACTAAAATGAGTAAAGGAATCTTTTTACTCTGTTACATTTTAGCAATTCGTATTTATTTACAAATTAAATTTTTTGTGTTTAATTTCAATATGTTTTGATGATGATGATATTTGTACTGCTTTGTGATTGATTACATCTTTGGAGCTCTGTATTTTAGACCAAAAAAAATCCTAAAAGGAGAAGAACAGAGCTGCACAATCTTCAGTTCCTATACTGATAAATGCTGGATGCCTCAGATAGCAATATTTGTTAGCTAACATCTCTGAAGAACATCAGGCCGTTTCATATCCAGTTCATTTTGGACTTTTTTGTTGCTGCATCCACAAATGCTAATTAAAATGCTTAAATGCAAAAAAGAAACCATATATAAAACAGGATCCAGGAATGCTGCCACCTTCTCTGGGCCAGAGCTGCTTTAAAATGGACTGAGGGGAAGTGGAAAAGTGTCCTGTGGTCTGACGAATCAACATTTGAAATTCTTTTTGGAAATCATGGACACTGTGTCCTCTGGGCTAAAGACCAACCAGCTTGTTATCAGTGCACAGTTCAAAAGCCAGTATTCATGATGGGGTGCATTAGTGCACATGGCATGGGTGACTGGCACATCTGTGAAGGCACCATTAATGCTGAACGATATATACATGTCTTGGCAACATATGCTGCCATCCAGACAACGTCTTTTTCAGGGAAGGCCTTGCTTATTTCAGCAAGACAATGTCAAACCACATTCTGCATGTACTACAACAGCATGGCTCTGTAGTAAAGGAGTCAGGGTGCTGAGCTGGCCTGCCTGCAGTCCAGACCTGTCACCACTGAAACCATTTGGCGCATTATAAATGAAAAATACAATAAAGGAGACCCCAAACTGTTGAGCAGCTGAAATCCTATGTTGAGCAAAAATGGGCAAACTTTTCACTTTCAAAACTACAGCAGTGTCTCCTCAGTTCCCAAATGCTTACATAATGTTGTTAAAAGAAGAAGTGATGAAACACAGTGGTAAACATGCCCCCATCCCAACTTTTTTGGAAAATGTTGTTGGCAATAAATGGGCATACATTTTTCAAAAAACAGTAAAATTTCTCAGTTTCAATATTTGATTTGTTGTCTTTGAAACGTTTTCAAATATAGGGTTTAAATGATTTTGCACATCATTGCATTTTGTTTTTATTTACATTTTTCACACTGTCCCAACTTTTTTTGGAAATGGGGTTGTATATCCTATCCAGATGAGATGGTATAATTTTGAAAAATGTGCATCCATTGCTGGCTGTAATATTGCATGAAAGTTGTTCTGCACATTATAATTTAATTTGTTTTCTGATCTGAATCTTGATGCTACATAAATTCAGGATCACATATTACCCAGTCAGAGCGCTAGATGCGGAGCTTGACCGAATACGGGTGGGATTTTAAATAACGACTGTTCCGGCTGTTTTTGTCATCGCGTGGTTCCGGCGTGAAGCCGCTTCAGGCCAGGTGGTGGCACTAATTCTGTAACTATAACTTTCTCCAACAGCACTAAAAGCGGAGAAGCAGAAGGTTGTGTTGTGGTCAGCAGTCCACGCCTCCGCGCTCATACAGTGTTGTTGGAGGAACAGAAACAAGAGCTGAACTGTTGAAGGTAGGAAGCTGTCCGACACTTTAACGCTCACTGTTCCTCATTCACTCTGAGACAAACAGCTGGAGACACATTTGAGTTCTAGTTTAATGGGTTTAAAATAGATCAACACCGAATCAGCTTCCTTCAAACTTGCCTGAGTAATGTGAGCTGCTCTGAGATATTTGGTGGGTAATGTTTTCCTAGATGGCTTTGGCAAGTTAGTTCCAAAGATATATTAAACACACCGTCAAATAGATGTGCTTTAGATCACCAAGACTTGATGACTCTTGCTTTATTCCCTGGGCTTTTCTTTTGTGTGCTAATGATATTAAGTCAGCTTCTTCATTACTTAACTGTCTTTTTACTGGTGTAAATGTAAACCCACACATCGTCCAGAAAACTGCAAAGATGAGTCCTTTATGATTTTCTCTGGTCCACTGTCAGTTTGTGAACACATAAAGCAGATCTTATAAACCATTCACTTATTAACAATGTGCCAAAAAAGGTCATGATATATTGAACATGTAGATATAATAAAGTGTAGAAGTACTGACTGTTATGCTGATATTGTCCAATCTCTAAATTGTATAGGTATAAGTACATGCTTTCTGAGAGCTGTTAATGTCTGGGTGGGGGGTTGCTGGTCAGTGGTTGGTAGATTAGGAGCTGGTAGGAGTGGCACTAGCAGTTGTCCATGGTGTAGTTTGTGAGAGCTGTTCAGGAGATCTAGTTAATGTGTTTCCAATCCTGGGGATCACATGGTCTGAATATTTTTGTGTCTGAATATTACCAACTTCAACACTCACAATTCAGCTAATCAGTTAATGAGGTGAGTTAGGCATGCTAGGTAAAATCATAAAATTGTGTAAAGTATGTGGTCTCCAGGTCTAGAACTGAAATCTTCTGGTCTAGTTGTAGGAACCTTCCTGAAAACTGGTGGTATTTGAGCTTTCACTCTCTCTCCAGACATATGAATATAAATAGAGCGTAATTCTTCCTGCAGATCTTTCGTGGTCTAAACAGTAAACATTCCCCAGTGATTTAAATAGAAATTCATTGGTGACAGTCTTGTTGTTCTGAAGTTAAAATATGCATTATTTAAAGCAGTCAACGGGGCCATTGCCATAGTAACAAGATGGGGCGGGAGTTTAGGTAGCAGACACGCAGAACAGAATACTTGTGTACATTTCAGCATTAAAAGAATAATAGGCCTCATATCACTGCATCAGGCTAACAGTTGGCTTTGATTTAAGAATGTAATGTGTTGGAATTCGTTTAATCATCAGAGACTTCTTGTCTAGGCTAAACCTCTCATGATTATTACATACATCTCCTGACTGTGATTATTTGTGCTGACTGTTATCATTCAAAGTGACCGTAATCATTTTGCACGGTCATTAGATCTCTTATTCTTTAGTAGTTGTGTAACAATACCCCAAATGTAAAGTTTGATTCAGTATTATATAGTGGTGTCTCAATATGATACATTTTTCATTCCAGCAGAAATAAGGAGTGCCTGAAATATGCCTTGTGTTCATGTTCATAATTTAATGTTTGCACAGTGCACATTAGGGTGGAAATTGAGCACAATTCCAATGTTGATTTTAAATTTGGTTCTTAGGTCAATTTCAATTTTATTTTCAATATTTTGTGTGTTAATGTCTTGATTCTGCAGGAGTCTGGTTATAAACTACACTGATTTGTTAGGCTTAAGTGAAAATAGTTCTTTAGATCTATAGATCACTGGCTAACTAACATCTGCTAGATAAGTAAAGGCGCTAACTTTGATATTTAATTTTTTAGTAACTTGTAGTCTCCAAATGTGATCATATTATTTGATTAATGAACTGTATCCCTTCAACCCAGCGTTTAGTTGGATAGGTCTCTGTTCTGTAAACATGATCATTTAGCTAGGGTGGGAAAAGTCTATATTTTAAATTGGCTAGTCAGTTAGGATTACTAAATTGTTCAAAAGCTCTGACTGCTCATTTAACCTGTCTTCATAGCCAAACTACTGAGACCTCTAAACAGCTTATTACTGAGCTTGTGGACTTGATTGATTATCCCACAACCCCAACTTAGCATAGGATTTTCATGAAGGAACTTTTTGCTTGTTTTAAAAAAAAACACATCACTCAGCACTAAATTATACTGTACATAATCAATTTTGAAGAAAATGTCAGAACCTTATAATTCTAAAGTTGAGATTTATTGTGGAAGGATGCCCTCATGCAGCCAATTACAGACCTTCATGTACTGCAGCCTAAATAAAAAAGAAAAATGCATGGAAAGCAGCAACACCGCACAGAAAGGATACAAGGCCATTGAGGTTGTAACATAACCACCATTTGACACAGAAAACAAATAGACATACAAAATAAGCACATAGTGCACCCATTCCAGAATGTTTTTATTCAGTCATATGTGAAAGTTTAGGCAATCCTGTCCATATTAATGTTTTGTTGTTTATTTAAGTGAAAAACTAACTGAACATCTCCATGGAATAAACTTAAATATGACATATTTCTACAAATTTAAATGCTATCTTAGCATTTATTTGCTGAATGTAATGTATTAAAGAGGAGAAGACTTTATGTGCAAAACTTTGAGCACCCTCTCAGTCAATGGGGATTGTAGGCAAAGGGCTCAGTTTTGGTATCATTTGACCAAAGCACTTGGTACCAAAATACCTCTGGGTTATCTAAGAGTTGTTTCCAAGCTTCAGATATTGACTTTTGTGATGAGATCACAAGGTTAGGTACCTTCTGATAATCTTTCCACATAGATGATGTTAAATTTTATTTCTTAATTCCATCAATAAAGCAGAAGGTATTGAGATGTATTTTATAATCTTCTCTTGCTTTGTAAGAGTCAGTTATCTTTATTTTCAGATGCTCAGTCAACTGTTTAGATGAGCACATTGTTGAGAACTGTAAGCACACTAAGAAGCTTGAAGGATCACATAATTTATTATTCTCTGAAATTGTCTATACATGACTTGGACTAAGGCCTAATGAGTCAAATAAATCCTGAGACCTTATAAAGAAAAAACAACCAATGTAACAAATTTTATATGTTGGCTTCTTAACGGCCTTGTAAAGCAGAGGAACCAATAACATTCAGTGGAAAAAAATGTACATAATGTAAATATCCAGCTTAGCCCTGGACTTTCCAATATCAGCAATACAACACGAGAGTTTGAGGTTAATTAGGTAACTGCGTTTTGCACATCAGATGCAAATTTATTGTTTCTTTACACTTTCTGCCAGTTGATGTAAGTGGAGCATTTATGATTTCAATCAGACTAACTTTGTTGCATTGTACATTGATTTTAGATTTTTTTTTTTATTCTTCCAGAAATAAGTGATGTCCTGTTTCAAGTCTTCTCCTGCACCTCCCTACCCGGTGTAAATGTGCTTTTTGTAAACATGTCAGGACGTTATACCAAGAGGAATGTTAAGCTGCTGAAACAGGTGAAATACAAGAATATAGCATTCAGAAGACATTCCGGTACTCAGCAAACATCATCTGGTACCCTACACATGAACACATCCCCCAGACAAATGCAGAAACGCAGCAAAGAAAGAACTCACTACTGCTTGGAATGTGGAAAGAGTTTTACTCAACAGGGTCATCTCAAAATACACCAGCGCATTCACACAGGAGAGAAGCCGCATCACTGCTCAGAGTGTGGGAAGAGTTTTAATCATCAGAGTAATCTCCAACGTCACCAGCACATACACAAAGAAGAGAAACCGTATTACTGCTCAGAGTGTGGAAAGCGTTTTACTCTACAAAGTACTTTGAAAAGACACCAGCATATTCACACAGGAGAGAAGCCGTATCGCTGCTCAGAGTGTGGGAAGAGTTTTAATCATCAGAGTATTCTCCAAGAACACCGGCGCATCCACACTGGAGAGAAGCCGTATTACTGTTCAGAATGTGGGAAGAGTTTTACTGTAAAGAGTACTTTCCAAAACCACCAGCGCATTCACACGGGAGAGAAGCCGTATCACTGCTCAGAGTGTGGGAAGAGTTTTACTCAACAGAGTCATCTCCAACAACACCAGCGCATTCACACAGGAGAGAAGCCGTATCACTGCTCAGTGTGTGGGAAGAGTTTTAATCGTCAGAGTTCTCTCCAACAACACCAGCACATTCACACAGGAGAGAAGCCGTATCACTGCTCAGAGTGTGGAAAGAGTTTTAATCAACAGTGTAATCTCCAAGCACACCAGCGCATTCACACAGGAGAGAAGCCGTATTACTGTTCGGAGTGTGGGAAGAGTTTCCGGCATTCAAAGACAGTGAAGACACACAAGTGCACTAAGGGCAGTGGTGGAAATGGCCAGTAATGAGTGTAACCTTAACACATTCTGCGAGTGAAAGTCTCCAGGGAATGGTGCTTCCAGCCCAGACGTCAAACTGATTTTAGGGGAAACCGTCTGTTGTTGTTATATGCTGTTTCTAATACATGATCTAAATATAATTTCTTGTGCTGAACATGAAGTCAAGACTGTAGCTCATACACCCTTGTGTACCACCATGAGAAGGTGTAGTACGGCATATTCTCTCCAAAATGAGTTTAATTTGTAATATATGTTGAAAACAATTTAGCAGCTGTACGTTCAATAATAAAATTTTGTTTACTTTGTTATTTAGGATATCTATGCTAATATTGTGTTTGTGATGCAATGATAGATGTTTTGACAAACATTTGGCACTCGGCTCCTTGAGTGAGTCTATTGCTCCTTTGATTCTTACATGTTAATTAGTTAATGGCTGTTGCAACAAAAGTGCCACTTGGTCTTCCTTTTATCCCTTAATGGGATGTGTTCAGTATGCATTACGTTCAGTGTTCGTGTCAAGGACTGCTATAAAGGAAATGTGACCCTGAAGACTACAACAGTGAAGTTTTTGCTGTGCAGATCTGTGCAGGAATAGAGACACTGACTGCAAAATATCAAGCTATCTGAGTGACTTTCTGGTGACCTCTCCTCAGTATGGCCTATGCATGCCTGTTCTTTGCAGCATAAAGTTGCATACAGGCCAGACAACAAGTCATCCTTGGATTTTCCATTGCTGTTTTCAGAGTGTTCAACAACTCACGTTGATGTTCTTTGTGATGCCTGGAGAGTGATTTTTCCTTGAGAAGGATGTTGTGATATGAGAAATGATTTGTTTATGCACATCTCCAGATGTATCTATCATACCAGACACGATGGTGGCCAATGGTACAGGAGTTTGCACTCTGTATTTCTATCGTTGTAGTACTGAGTGAAAAGTGACCACTGGGGATGTTCAAGGCATTGGGTGTATTCTTGTGACCATCTTAACCTGTTGAGATTAATTTTATTATTTTTTTTAATACATTTCTTTATGTTCCTGTAAACATTGAAAAAAATCTTATAATCCATTTTTATTTAAAAATTAAATTTTATTGTTTTCTCTTTTTAGTTTTTGGGGTATATTGCATCACAGAAATTATTAGTCATGCTGTGGTAATCTACCCTACATTAGATAAGCTTAATCTTGGCCTAGCTTCTGAGACGCAACAAAACCAGGGCTTCTCGGTTCTCTTTGGCAAGTATTCCATGCACATACACACTATATAACAGATGCATGCTCCCTTTTTTCCATAATGTCATCTGCTAAAGATACAGAATGACTGTGGTTTATCACATCTTTGGAAAGCTGAGTTCAATTTCCCTAGCCACACCCAGGCCTGATTACTGCCACACCTGTTCTCAATCAAGAAATCACTTAAATAGGACTTGCCTCACAAAGTGAAGTAGACCAAAAGAAACTCAAAAGCTAGACATCATGCTGTGATCCAAAGAAATTCAGGAACAAATGAGAAACAAAGTAATTGAGATCTATCAGTCTGGAAAAGGTTATAAAGCCATTTCTAAAGCTTTGGGACTCCAGTGAACCACAGTGAGAGCCATTATCCACAAATGGCGAAAACATGGAACAGTGGTGAACCTTCCCAGGAGTGGCCGGCTGACCAAAATTACCCCAAGAGCGCAGCGACGACTCATCCAAGAGGTCACAAAAGACCCCACAACAACATCCAAAGAACTGCAGGCCTCACTTGCCTCAGTTAAGATCAGTGTTCACAACTCCACCAGAAAAAAGAGACTGGGCAAAAATGGCCTGAGTTCCAAGACGAAAACCACTGCTGAGCAAAAAGAACATAAAGGCTCGTCTTAGTTTTGCCAGAAAACATCTTGATGATCCCCAAGACTTTTGGGAAAATACTCTGTGGACTGACGAGACAAAAGTTGAACTTTTTGGAAGGTGTATGTCCCATTACATCTGGCGTAGAAGTAACACAGTGTTTCAGAAAAGGAACATCATACCAACAGTAAAATATTGTGGTGGTAGTGTGATGGTCTGGGGCTGTTTTGCTGCTTCAGGACCTGGAAGACTTGCTGTGGTAAATGGAACCGTGAATTCTACTGTTTACCAAAAAATCCTGAAGGAGAATGTCCTGTCTGTCTGTTGTCCTGTCATGTCCTGTCATGTCTGTTCGTGACCTCAAGCTGAAGCACACTTGGGTTCTGCAGCAGGACAATGATCCAAAACACACCAGCAAGTCCACCTCTGAATGGCTTAAGGAAAAACAAAATTAAGACTTTGGAGTGGCCTAGTCAAAGTCTTGTCCTGAATCCGATTGAGATGCTGTGGCATGACCTTAAAAAGGCAGTTCATGCTCGGAAACCCTGCAATGTGGCTGAATTACAACAATTCTGCAAAGATGAGTGGGCCAAAATTCCTCCACAGTGCTGTAAAAGACTATTGCCAGTTATTGCAAACGCTTGATTGCAGTTGTTGCTACTAAGGGTGGCTCAACCAGTTATTAGGTTTAGGGGGCAATCACTTTTTCACACAGGGCCCTGTAGGTTTGGATTTCTTTTTCCCTTAATAATAAAGATCTTCATTTACAAACTGCATTTTGTGTTTACTTGTGTTATCTTTGTCTAATATTTAAATTTGTTTGGTGATCTGAAACATTTAAGTGTAACAAACATGCAAAAGAATAAGAAATCAGGACGGGGACAAACACTTTTTCACACCACTGTATAAGGATTCTATCACAGTGAGTGTACACATATATGACATGTAACATGCTAAACAGATCAGACAGGTTCACAGACTGTAAAAAACATTAAAAGGAAAAAGAAGCTAGAAGTCTTTGAAGTGAAAAATAAAAAACAGTGAATAGGATAAGGGGTTAAAAAGATTAATATGTGAGTATGAAATATTTACCTGTGTTAGATATATACCATCTGTGTGCCTCAAAAGAAACTGAGATTGATTAGACCAGGCTATGTTTTTCCAGTCCTTAACTGTCCAGCTGTCTGTTTTTGGCTGACAGAACTGTGATCCAACATATTTTTTTGCTGTTGTAGCCCATCCACCTAAAGGTTTGATGCCCTGTGCATTCTGAGATGCTTGTCTGCTCTTTACAATTGCACAGAGTGGCGACCTGTGTTAGTGTATCTTTTACTGTCACTTTGACCCAGTCTAGCTATTCTCCACTGACTTCTCTCAACAAGACTTTTCTCTTCTACTCACTGGCTGTTTTTTTCTTTTTTGCACTATTCTGAGTAAACTCTAGAGACTGCTGTGTGTGAAAATCCCAGATCAGCAGTCATAAAAATACTTAAACCAGCCCATCTGTCACCACCAATCATGCCACAGTCAAAATCATTGATATCACATTTTCCCCATTTTGATGGTTGAGTGGATACATTGCACTGCTGCCATATAACTGGCTGATTAGATAATTGCATGAATGTGTAGGTGCACAGGTCTTCCTTATAAAGTGCTCAGTGAGAGTCCATTTTAAATTTGATGCCAGCAACATAGTTCAAAAAGGTTGTGTCTTCATTCTTTGCAGGAAGTGAAGTTGCTGTTGGGCTTTCTTGGCTTGGCAGGTGATATTGTCCAGGTGAGGTTGTCGGTGATGTGCACACCAAGGAATTTGGAGCTTTTAACTCTCTCCACAGTCGAACCATTGATGTGAGGTGGGGAGTGATCACTGCGAGTCCTTAAGTCAACAATCATTTCTTTTGTCTTATCAACATTAAGAGATAGATTCTTGTATCTGCACCATACTGCAAGCTGCTCCCTCTCCTCCCTGTATGCTGACTCATTGTTGTTAATAAGATCTTCTATTGTAGTGTCATCAGCAAACCTGAGAATGTGATTTGACCTGCTTTGAAGGACAGTCATAAGTCAGTAATGTGAATAGTAGGAGACTGAGCACACAGCCCTGGGGTGTGCCAGTGTTCACTGTGGTGTTGCTGAAGGAGTCCTTGTCGATCCTGTCAAACTGAGGTCTCCCAGTCAGGAAGTCCAGGATCCCATTGCAGAAGGTGTTCAGGCCCAGTAAGCTCAGCCTTTTAATAAGTTACTGTGGTATGTTTGTGTCGAATGCTAAACTAGAGTCTAAGAACAACTTTTCTGTTCAGCTAGGCCAAATTCAATGTCCTGGTAGAATTTGGATAGCACTGACTTGAGATTTTGATGTGGTGCACCATCATCACCATGTGTAGTGGGACACGGTGTCACCAGTAGTGTGAGGCTATGTGCAGGAAAGAAGCCTTGGGTTCCCCTTCAATTAATGTCGCACACATCCAGATTGGTTCAAGCGCTCTCAATCAGTGTTCGAGGTTGGAAAACAAAACTAGTTTTTAAGGTGACTCCATCAGCTCCTCAGCTAATATCCTGCAGCCACTCATACACTCTACAGTCTAAACATCAGTCTGAAGCGAATATGTCTGGAGGCCACATGGCCCCTAAGGGCACTATGGCTCCCTCAGCCTACTCTTTTTACTCTCCCCAAGAAACCCCTAAATCAGGCTTTATAGTCCAAGCCCCACCCTAATTGAGGCTGGAATATACCAATGCAGATTATAGGGATAACAACATTGGCTCACCATCAACTATGAGAATATGCATATGCTAAATCAACAAAATTTACATGGCCATTTCTTATTTTAATACTAGTAAGTACATTCACATTCAGCTACAGTTTTAATGAACTTTTTTCTCTTTACAGGTTTTACTTTGGCTTTGCTGCCTCATCTACAGGATAGCTGTGATGTCACTGACATCATCACATCATCACAGATGTGTCCTGTGATGTGTCCTGGCCAGCGACATCATCACAGATTTGCATGATTAACATCCCTTGTGATGATGAAAAACGCATCAGGGTGTGCAGTCTGTAGTTTCTGATGGCCCCATAGAGTTTGCTCATTGTCTGTACACTACAACAATGAGCATGGTAGTAGACTCTCTGAGTCTCTCTGAATGGCCAAGTCTTTACAATTATGAACTCTACCCATGCTGAGCAGTGACTCAATATTACTGCATTTGTGCCACATTTGTTGTTAGTGTAAACACACACTGAAATCAAGCAGGGTCCTGCTAACCATGTTCATCAGTGTTTCAGATTCTTGGACAGACTTGTTTTAGAAACCAGTGTTTCTGATCTTTGGACGGAATTGTTTTGGAAAACTGAATCAGAAATGAGCTGCCACTATCCCATCGTCATGTGTACTTTAAGTTTCATGCCAGCAACACAGAACCGGCAACCTTCCAGTCACAAGGCTGGTTCCCTAACCTCCAGCCCACGACTGCCCATTCTAGTAAAAATTTGGGACAGGGGCATGTTTAGGTCCTCTCTTATGCACTCTCCTCTTTAGCTGACCCCACAGAGTTTTTATACATTTAGATCAGGGGACTGAGATGATCATGGCAGAAGCTTGATTTTGTGTCTAGTAAACCCTTTTTTGTGTCGATCTGGACATATGTTTTGGATCATTGTTCTGCTGGAAGATCCATGCACACATTTTTAGTTTCTTGGTAGAGGCAGACAAATTTTGGTTTAAAATGACCTGGCATTTCATGGCATCCATGATGCTATGTCCCCTAATGAGGTTCCCAGGGCTTTTGGAGGAAAAACATCACAGATCCTCCCCCATACTTAATAGAGGGCATCAGGTTCTTTTCAGTGTAATCATCCTTTTTATGCCAAACCCACCTTGTGTTTGTTAAAAAAAACCCTCAATTTTCATTTGGACCCAGTCAAAGTCATGATAGCATTTAGCAAACTCCAGGCACTTACCTTTGTGGTTAGATGACAGGAAAGGCTTTATCCTGGCATGTCTTCCAAATAGTCTGTTGGCATGGAGGTGGCTTTTGAATGTAATTTTGGAGACTTGATTTGACACCAAGATATGGACACACACACACACACACACACACTATATATGTATATATATATATATATATATATAAAATGTTTCAATTGCATTTTAATTCTAAGAATTCCTAGGGATGCCAATAACTGAGACACATATGGTTTTGTTAAAAATAGTAAATAACAAAAAAAAAGAATCTCAAAGTATTTTTTTTAATAAAGGTTGGATTGTTCTCAATTTTTTGAGAAAAGATAATTCACAAAATGGTGAATTTATTTCAACCCTTTTTACTAATCTTTACCAGGGGTGCCAATAATTGTGGCAGGGACTGTATATAGTTCAGCATTAATGGTGCCTTCATAAATGTGCAAGTCACCCATGTCATTTGACTAATGCACCCCCACAATATCAGGGATGCTGGTTTTTGAACTGTGCACTGATAACACTGATAACTGATAACTCTTATTTAGCCTGGAGGACATGGTGTCCATGATTTCTGTGAATTTTTTTAGACCACAGAACACTTTTCCACTTTGCCTTTCAGTCCATCTTAACCGAGCTCAGCCCCATAGAAGGTGGCAGCATTTCTGGATCCTGTTTATATATGGTTTCTTCTTTGCATGGTATTGAATTGTATCAATTAAGGTTAAATGAATATAAGATTAAACAATGTTATTTCAGGTTCAAAAATGATAAATCGTGGATTTAAATGAATTGGCTCTGTGCTCTGTGTATATTTAACCACTCACCCTATTCTGACCTAAATTCTAAAAGTTATAAAAACTAAATATAAACTGCAATGGACTGGCAACCTGTCCAGTTTTAAATGGGTGGCTGAGGTGGCCAGCACCCTCTGTAAAATCTGATTTGCCACCCCAGATGTCACCCCAAAATTTCATTGTCATTGGCTTCCATCTCGATGTTTTTCTATTGACAGAACAACTCTACACCACCCCACTTGCACATTTACTCCCACCCCTGGTCGCACATTATCATTGTGAGCATGTGTTTGTTGGCGATCAGCGAAACAACTCTTCAACAGTTAACACTGCCACCCTACCAAATTTCCCTGCCTTCCCTCATGCCAACCATAGTAAAATTCTTTGGAACCACAACCGGTGCTGTAATACTGAAAAAAAGAAGAAGAATGACAAACACAAACACACCAACTACTGCTTCAGTCTCCTTCCTTTAACACAAATGTGAAATAGCACTTCTTACCTTCATACAAAAGAAATGCACACATAGAAATTCTCTAATCATGATCATGATTTCTTTCACGTTTGAAGGCTGATTTTGCTCCTGGGTGGTTAACTGTGGTTTTAAACTATCACTTATGGTCCGATCATGACAAACACTCGGCAAACAGTGGAACATTTCACTAATCTGTCTTGGGACAGTGGGAGAAAGTTTTTGAGCTGTTTTTATCAGCTTGAAATGCAGAGCTGAAATTTTTGTAATAGTCATAATTTAAGAAAGAAAACAGATTATTTTTAGCGGTCTGGTGACGAGCACTTGGCTACCCCGTTACAAATGCTAAACAAGTGGCCAACAACAGTGCTAAACTCTTTAGTTTCTCAACAACGTCAACTCGGTTCGGTAGGTCACTGCTGTCACTCCTACCACATCCATGTCAGAGCATATCACAGTATTCAGACACCAGCTAGCGACGACTGTATTTCTCTATGCTATCGCAGTAGTTTAAGGGGTGAACCGCAGTATATCTGACGCTCGCTGTGTAAAAGCATTATCTGCAGTGTGAATCTCAGAGTCCTCCTTTTAGGTACGTTTAAACTGAAAGCAGTGATTTTGTGTCTTGTTTGATCTACCGTATTATCAATTCACCGTGTTTTGCCGGAGCGCTGCTTCAAGTTAGCCAGCAGCTAAAAACAGCTAGCCTGGAAAGATAGCGCTCTCCCGCTCTCCAATGCCTCACAGCTTCCTCAGTTTACTTTCGAACATGAACCCACTTCTTTCTTTCACTTTCGTTGCTCGAGAATGCACTAATACTAAAATATGACGGTTTGGCGCTGTAACACGGCGCTGCAGACGTGATTTAACACCGCTAAAGCTGTTAGGATGTTAGTAAAGAGGTGAGTTCGCCGTAGGACAGTACAGTTACACCACTGACCTCCTCACTCACACTCGGTCACAGGAGAACAGATCGCCGATAACATCCCCTCAGACAGGGACTGTATAACTCCGCGTTTCAGCCGTTGCTAAAGTATATTTGGCAACCCTTTTTTTACTCGTGGCCCCCTCCCTCTCTAATCAAGTCGAAAAATTCGGAAGTGCGCCCTCTACTGGCGACAGCAGAGTAGTGTCGCTTTCCTTGCAGTAGAAAGCGCCACCAGGGCTTTCGCTAAAACGTGGAAGTGTGAGAATGGTGTATTGTATCGAAAATCTATCAAACCTGTCTTATCGCTCTATCGAGGAAAAGTTATATCGCGATACTTATCGTTATCGTTTTATCGCCCAGCCCTAGGTGCATGGTCAGTGATTAAAATGAAAGGCCTACCAGTCAAATAGTACCTCAGTTCTTTGATGGCCCATTTGATGGCCAAAGCTTCTTGTTCCAGGGCGGCATAATGCTAATCAGCAGGGGTAAGTTTACAGCTGATGTTCCTCACTGTCGAAATCCTATCCTCACTGTCGAAATCCTATCTCCCAAACCTTTCTCTGACACATCAGTCTGTACAACAAACTGTTTGTCAAAGTCAGGGTTCCTAAGGACTGGTTCTGTGGTCAGGTGGTAATTTAGCATTTAAGAGGAGAGAGGGTAGAGAAGATGAGCACGAACTGCCAGCAGCAGCTGGCGAACCTTAAGAAAACACATTCCTCAGTCTTAGTGGGTGGGGGACAGTTAATTATGGCAGCAACCTTTTTCTCTTTGGGCCATAAAAGCCCCCTCCCAATGAGGTAGCATTTTGTGGCATTGGCTGTGAGTCTAGCCTTGCAGAGGCATCTGTAGTTGTACAACATGCTCTGCCCACATGGAATTACATCACTAGATCACTTCGGATTGCAAAGGCTGTTTTTTCACATGCCTCTAGGGAGAGGATGACCTGCCAGTATCCCTTGGCGAGGTCTAAGGTAGACACAAAACAAGCCTTATTTAAACACTTAAGGGAAAAGGGTATGAAGAGTCGAACTGCGAGACTTCACTGAGTTTTTGGAAGTTGTTGCAGAACCTCCACAAACCATCAGGCTTAGGTACCATGACGATGAGGCTGGACTACAGGCTGTCAGATAGTTCAGTGATACTGGTGACCAGAATGCGATGAATCTCCTCCGCTATGGTGGTTTGGTAGGACACGGGCACTCTGTAGGGCCGCTGCTGTACCACCATTCCGAGAGGGATTTTTATTTGATGCTGCACACCACAGGTGTGGCCAGGGGCATCTGAGAGCACTCCCCGCAACTGTTCTGCTAGCACAGCCCTTTCCTGGCACTGTGAGGAGGAAAGTTCCTTTCCATAGTGCAGACATGAGTTCACAGCAACATAAAAAAAAATACATTTTTAAATAATAAAAATAGGAAAAAGAATGTTCACAAAAATACATAAACTCACATGCAAAGGTTTAATTAAACAAAAGCTTACAGAAATAAATCAGCAGGCAAAAAACTGAGAGAGAGAGAGAGTGAGAGAGAGAGAGAGAGAGAGAGAGAAAATGAGAGAACACTTACAGGTGTCTCTCCATCTCCACCTGCCTAACACAGACTTGGTCAGAGTAGGTATACTTTTATGCAAATTATATGTAAATTAGACCATCTATATATCTACATACTGAATTGTGTACACATTGATTCATCATTGCAAATCAAAACTATTATAATGCAGACTTGGATTAGTTTAGAAACATAACTGAACAGTGTCATCATGCGCATCTTAATGATGTCGGCAAGAATCGCTCTCTGTGAATCCCCAAATGGTCACCTTCTACCCAATTCTACAAACAGCAGATATCCAGTACAAACTCCTGTACTAGAGGCAACTGCCATGTCTGGTAGGATAGACTGGAGATTGCCCTTCAAGGAACAGCCACTCTCCAAGCATTACAAACAACATCAACAGTCCTTAAAGTCTCTGAAAACGGTAATAAAAAGTTCATTGATGAGTTGTAGTCTGGCCTGTACAGGACTTTATGCCACATAGAACAGGCATGCATAGGCCATAATGAGGTCAGCAGTACCTCACTCAAATAGCTTGATGTCTTGTAGTCCTTCATAGTGCTGTGTTTTCAATGCTGTTCAGTTCAGCCCGGCACAGCAAAAACTGTTGCAGTCTCCAGAGTCATATCTCTTTTGTAGCAGTCCCAACATGTATACTGCTAAAAGTTGAAAGCTAAGACAAAGTGGCACTTCAACTGCCACAAACATTAATCAGTTAATGCATGAAAATCAAATGAGCAAAATAGGGACTCAAGGAGCCAAGCACAAAAATGTTTGTCAAAATATCCATCATTTCATCAGAAACACTATACTATATAGGATGCACTGAATTACAAAGTAAATAACTTCATTTTAATTCAATGTGGCGCTTCTCGGATGTTTTTCCTCAAACATTACAAATGAAACTATTTATGGTTAAGGTTTGACTTGGTCAACACATAATTGGAAGTTATATTTCATTTTATGCTCGTGTTTTAAGAAACAGCTGGTTTTCCTCTATGAACAGTTTGATTTCTAGGCTGGAAGCACCGTTTACTGGAGACTTTTACTCCCAGAATGTTAGAATGTTAAGGTTACATACATTACTCCCCATTTCCACCACTGATCTTAGTGCACTTGTGTGTCTTCACTGTCTTTGAATGCCTGAAACTCTTCCCACACTCTGAACAGTAATATGGCTTCTCTCCTGTGTGAATGCGCCGGTGTTCTTGGAGATTACACTGTTGATTAAAACTCTTCCCACACTCTGGGCAGTGATATGGCTTCTCTCCTGTGTGAATGCGCTGGTGTTGTTGGAGATATCCTTGTACAGTAAAACTCTTCCCACACACTGAGCAGTAATACGGCTTCTCTCCTGTGTGAATACGCTGGTGATGTTGGAGAGTACTCTGACGATTAAAACTCTTCCCACACTCTGAGCACTGATACGGCTTCTCTCCTGTGTGAATGCGCTGGTGTTGATGGAGAGAACTTGGACGATTAAAACTATTCCCACATTCTGAGCAATAATACGGCTTCTCTCCTGTGTGAATGCGGTGGTGTTTTTGCAGAGAGCTTTGTGCAGTAAAACTCTTCCCACACTCGGAGCAGTGATACGGCTTCTCTCCTGTGTGAATGCGCTGGTGTTCCTGGAGATAACTCTGCCGATAAAAACTCTTACCACATTCCGAACAGTGATACGGCTTCTCTCCTGTGTGAATGCGCTGGTGTCTTTTGAGAGTACTCTGTAGAGTAAAACTTTTTCCACACTCCAAGCAGTAGTGAGTTCTCTCTTTGCTGCATTTCTGTTTTTGTCTGCGAGATATGTTCATGTGACGCGTACCTGATGATGTTTGCTGAGTACTGGAACGTATTCTGGATGCCATATTCTTTCAGCAGCTTAATATTCCTCTTGGGGAAATGTCCCAACATGTTTATGAAAGCACATTTAAGCTGGGTAGGAAAGCGCAGATGACTTGAAACAGGACATCATTTATTTCTAGAAGGAAAGAAAATCTAAACTCATTATGCAATGCAACAAAAGTAGTCCCAAATCATGAATGCTCCATTTACATCAACTTGCAAAAAGTGTAAAAAAGAATAAACTTCCATTTGATGTGGTCAATCACCTTGTTACTGTAAATAGACATATACACCACTGAAATCGTGTTGTAATGCCAATATTGGAAACTCTGGGGCCAAGCTGGATTTGTACAAGGCAAAAATGACTGGGAGTATTTGAAACCACCACTATTACATCCTATGGTAAACAAAATGATTCCAAACCTGATATATTTATCCTATGTACATTTTTCACTGAATGTTACTGGATCCTATGCTTTACAAGGTCGTTAAAGAGCCAAAATGTGAATGTGCCGTATGCATGGTATGGTCTCTGAGCTTATTTGACTTGTTACACCTTAATCCGAGTCAAATATAGACAATTACAGAGCATATTAAATGATGAGATCTTTCAAACATCTTAGGATGCTTATAAACATGCTTATCTTGCTTATAAACTTTTACTGTCTGAAATGGCATTAAGAAATAAAAGTTAAGGACAACTGTTGATGTCAAAGAAAGATTTGGAAGGCTAAGAAATATCTGTGAAAAAACTGCTTGTAGGCTGACCAGCTATGCAAAGCAAAACCCTTTAGCTCACTGTCAAAGACCTGCAGTAAGATTTGGCTGGCACAGGAACAGTGATACACTGGCCTACTGTTTAGTGTTGTTGCACAAACAATATCTACATGGAAAGATTATCAGAGAGTAACCTCAACATCTGAGATATGAAAAGAGGTCGTACATGAATCAGAGACATTTATGATTCAAGTGTTAGAATTCTAAGTTTCTACCTGACATTTTTGTCAAATGTATGACATATGTACATTTAATCATTTAGAGTGCCAATGAAGTGTTTTTTTTAAGCAAGCAATTGTACTGTCTGTATTATTAAAAAGTAATAAGTTCATTCATGATAATCCCAATAGTTGGGGTTGTGGGATAACCACTTAGACACAGGACATGCCTTCTCATTCAATATTTTCCTTTATTTTTATTATTTTCCACATTGTAGATTAATGTTGAAGATATAAGAATTATGAAGGAATACATATCGAATTATGTAGTAAACAAAAAAGTGTTAAATAAACCAGAATGTTTTATTTATATAAACCGCATTTCCAAAAAAGTTGGGACGTTGTGCAGAATGTAAATAAAAATAGGAAGCTATGATATGCAAATCTTGTAAACTGTATTTTTAAAGGAAAATACTACAAAGACAACATATCAAATGTTGAAACCGAGAAATTTCATTGTTTTTTGAAAAATATGTCCATTTTGAATTTGATGTCAACAACATGTTCCAAAAAAGTTGGAACGGGGGCAACAAAACACTTGGAAAGATGTGTAATGCTTAAAAAAAAAGAAAAAAAAATGGTGGTTGATTGGCAACACATCAGTAATATGATTGGGTATAAAAAAAAACATCCCAGAGAGGCTGAGTCTTTCAGAAGTCAAGATGGGGAGGGGTCACCACTCTGTGAAAGACTGCATGATCAAATAGTGCAACAATTCAAGAATAACGTTTCTCATTTAAATTGGACTGAGGGGAAGTGGAAAAGTGCCCTGTGGTCCAAAGAATCAACATTTGAAATTCTTTTTGGAAATCATGGACACTGTGTCCCCTGGGCTAAAGACCACTCAGCTTGTTATCAGTGCACAGTTCAAAAGCCAGTATTCATGATGGTATGGGGTGCATTAGTGCACATGACATGGGTGACTGGCACAACTGTGAAGGCACCATTAATCCTGAATGATATAGACATGTTTTGGCAACATATGCTGCCATCCAGATGACGTCTTTTTTAGGGAAGGTCTCACTTGTTTCAGCAATTCCAGATTTATTAAAACAGCATTGCTCCTTATTAAAAGAGTCTGGGTGCTGAACTGGCCTGCCTGTAGTCCAGACCTGTCACCCACTGATAACATTTGGCGCATTATGAAATGAAAAATAAGACAAATGAGCCCCCAAACTGTTGAGCAGCTGAAATCCTATATCAAACAAAAATGAGAAAACATCTCACTTTCAAAACTACATCAGTTGGTCTCCTCAGTTTCAAAACACTTACAGACTGAAGAAGAGGTGATGAAACACAGTGGTAAACATGCCCCCGTCCCAACTTTTTTGGAATGTGTTGTTGGCATCAAATTCAAAATGGGTCTTTTTACTATTTTCAAAGAAATATAGAATTTAAATGATTTGTATATGATTGCATTTTGTTTTCATTTACATTTTGTACAGCGTCCCAACTTTTTTGGAAATGGGTTTGTATTAACAATTACTCACTTGCGTGTAAGTCATCCAAACCCTGGCCCCTCTCTGGTGCCATGGCAACGGCCCTATACATTAAATAAATTCATCTTTTTTTCTCAACAAGATCAACAATTGTGTATTTAAATCACTGAGACACTATTTACTGTTTTGACCACAAAAGGTCTACAAGAAGAAGTAGTTCATCATGAATATTACTACCCACCCTATCACAGCATTTTCACACTCTTGCTGTCTGGAGAGAGAGTTAAAGATTAAGGACCACCAGTTTTCAGGAAATTTATACAGCTAGACCAGAGGACTTCAGTCCCAGTCCTGTAGACCACACACTATACACATATTTTATCTAGCACATATCATTAACAAAAATATGCCTCATCTTTAGTGTTTGACAATGACAATGAGTGTGTTTATATTAATACCAATAAGTAACGTTAGGCCAAGATGACTTGAAACCAAAACAGCATTTTAATTCACTAGATAAGAGCTTTATTAACATAAAAGTATTAATTAACTAGAGTAAAACAGACAAATACATAACCAAATATTCCTGCACAATAGCTCTTGGGTTTGAATGAAGCTGCTTCTGTGTTGTTTAATCTATTTTAAACCCATCCAATCTTATTTTCAGAACTCAAATGGGTCTCGAGCTGTTTGTCTCAGAGTGAATGAAGAACAGTGAGTGTTAAAGTGTCGGACAGCTTCCTACCTTCAACAGTTCAGCTCTTGTTTCTGCTCTTCCATCAACACTGTATGGGCGCGGAGGCGTGGACTGCTGACCACAACACAATCTTCTGCTTCTCCGCTTTAGTGCAGTTGGAGAAAGTTATAGTTACAGAATTAGCGCCACCACCTGGCGTGAAGCGGCTTTACACTGGAAGAACCACGCGGTCACGGAAACAGGCGGATCTGTCGTTATTTTAAATCCCACCCGTATTTAGTCAAGCCCCGCCTCCAGCGCTCTGATTGGGTAACAGCAGAGCGAAGAACTCAGAACATTCATGGTTCAACATGGTGACATATAAATATAATTTAAAGTTTTCATTTTAATCTGTGAAATTCCCCTTTAAAAGCCTACACATCCATCTCTTTCTGTATGTGTGCTATTATGTAACCATATTTGTGATCTGCTTGTATACAAGCGTGTTGTGGGTTTTTTGCTGAAAACAAGTTATTGATTACACACTGTGGTGAGTAATCTTCATAACCGTATTGGAGTGAGCTGAACTGTTGAAGGTAGGAAACTGTCCGACACTTTAACACTCATTGTTCTTCATTCACTCTGAGACATATTGTGTATGTGTATATATTTAGAGTCAGTATGTATACAAGTATAGATAGATAGAGAACACAGAAGCAACTTTTTAACCAGAGCTGTTTCCCACTGGATCAATCAGCACTCAGTAGCGGTAATGCTAGCGTCGTACTGTCCAAAACCCGTTTACTGTGAAAAAGGAAAGATACAGGTAAGTTTTCTATGATTTTTAGTGAAATACATTCTGCTTTCCAAAAAGAAGTTCCCACACAAATGTTAGAGACATGTTTCATGTTTGTTTTTAGTCGTTTCTCTCCACTCTCACCCACACATTGTGTTTTTTAATTGGGGACTCACCCTCTGTGTTTTGCAGTCATGTGTCTGATATAATAGCAGAAATAGAAGGCAGTCAGGCTTCTCCTCGACTGGCTCTGTCCTGACATCTGCCACTGAGGTCAAACTTTAGAGTGATTAGAGTGAGCAAGCAAAACTAACTGACCAGCTAGTTAAACTTAAAACTGAGGATGACAGTATGCTCACATAGGCTTTGTCTGAAAAAGCTTTTTACGATGAGATGAGGCAGTGCAACTTTGAAAAATATCATTTGCTGATTGGCTTATTGCATGAAAGTTGTTCTGCACATTTAAGTATTTGTTTTCTAATCTGTATCACGATGCTGCATAAAACCGTCATATATGCAAAGCGCTGGAGGCGGGGCTTGACTGAATGCAGGTGGGATTAAACATAACGACCTGTCCACGTGGTTCCAACGTGAAGCCGCTTCAAGCCGGGTGGTGGCGCTGATTCAGTAACTATGACTTTCTTCAACTGCACTAACGCGGAGAAGCAGAAGCTTGTGTTGTGGTCAGCAGTCCAAAGAGCGCTCATACAGTGTTGATGGAGGAGCAGAAAGAAGAGCTGAACTGTTGAAGGTAGGAAGCTGTCCGACACTTTAACACTCACTGTTCTTCATTCACTCTGAGACAAACAGCTGGAGACACATTTGAGTTCTGAATAGATTTGATGGGTTTAAAATAGATTAAACAACACAGAAGCAGCTTCATTCAAACAGAGCTGAGTAATGTGAGCTGTTGGGCCAGAATATTTGGTAAATTACTGTTTCCTGGTCATAGAGCAGTTTGTTTTTGACTCATTTATGATTTGTACTGTGGTGGCAGCCACTGGCTCCAGTTTGGGGAAAGGAGCTTCAGGGGTGCGGTTTGTAAAGCTGCACCGCCCCCTCCCCCCTCACTCCCCCTAAAAGGGTATCAGTTGTTTAATGTTGTTAATGTTGTTCTGTTATTGTGTGGTGTGTGTGTATTTTGTGTTGGGCTGTGGGTTAGTGTGGGTCACTATGGCTAGTGTTGACTTTTCCTGCTCTTCACGTCTGTCTTTATAAGACTTTTCTGCTGGTGTTAATAAAGAGGACTTTTTCGTAGCAGAAATCATGGTCTCTCCTTTCATTCTAGTAGTAATGATCTTATCTAGTGGCTTAACATAATGTTTTTTTGCTTTCCGGCCAACATTGGGGGAAAAAGCATTGTGATTCTTGGCTGATCTCATGGGCTTCTGTTCTTTTGTGTGCTTATGTTATCAAGTCAACTCCTTTTTTTTTTTCCAAACAAAGTGTAAAGATGAGTCCTTCATGTGCATGACTGTCTGCTCCGCTGTCAGTTTGTAAACATAAAGCAGATCCTCTTGATCATTCACTCATTAAAATAATGTGCAAAAACAGGTCATGATATATCCAACATGTAGCTGTAATAAATATAGAAATAGTGACTAATTAGATGATATTATCCAAAGTAAGTATAACCATTTGTACACATTTGGTGAGAAGATCAGAGTTTGCACTACAATAAGAAGTACTTCCAGAGAGCTATGAATGTCTGAGTGGGGGTTGCTGGTCAATGGCTGGTAGATCAAGAGCTGGTAGGAGTGTCTATGGGGGTGTTTAGAGGGTGGTGTAGTGTGTGAGAGCTGTTCAGGAGCTTGTTGGGTAAGTTGAGATGTTCCCAATCCCAGTCCAGGAGACCACATGCTCTGCATATTTTGTGTTTTCCCTACTCTAACACTCCCAATCCAGCATTTAGTCAGTGTGGGCAAGCTACTGTGAAGGATAGTATATCCTGTTTGTTTAGCTTGACAGTGGGAAAATGTGCTGAACAAAACAGGTAAACCCCTTAAATGGTAACAGTTTTGAAGAATTTATAGAGACTATTGAATGCTGCTGTTTTAGAAGTTAAACTTATTTGGGTTGGAGTGGGGGCCTCTTCTATAGGAAAGAAGTTTGACCCTAAGAGGTTTGAAGGATCACATGCTTTATTATGCTCTGAAATTGTCTGTGCATATCTTGGAATAAAGCCTAATGTGTCAAATAAGCCACAAGATCTTGCTAACATGCATGTAGTAAAATTTTATATTATACAGAGTAACATTCAATGGAAAAATGTACAGGACATGATGGTGGCGATTTTTGAATAATCCCAGTCTTTTTTGCCACAGAGAAATCCAGCTTAGCCCCAGTGTTTCCAGTATCAGCATGACGACACAACTTCAGTGGTCTATATGTCTGATTAGAGAATTTGGGTTATTGGCTTATTCTATCTTTACACTTTCTGTCAGTTGATGTAAGTAGGACATTCGTGTTTTGGATCAGACTACTTTTGTTGCATTGCAAATTAAGTTAAGAATGTCTATTTTCTTTTTACAGAGAAGAGTGATGTCCTGTTTCAAGTCTTCTCCTGCACTTCCCTACCAGCTCAGTCCAGAAGTCAGTCCGCTACTTAACACATGTCATCTGGTACCCTCCTTATGAATACATCTCACAGACAAACACAGAAAGAAAGCGAGGAGGAAAATCACTACTGCTTGGAGTGTGGAAAAGGTTTTACTCTACAGAGTACTCTACATCAGCACCAGCACATTCACACAGGAGAGAAGCCTCATTACAGCTCAGAGTGGGGGATGAGTTTTAATCAGGGTTATCTCCTACAACACCAGCACATTCACACAGGAGAGAAACTGTACCACTGCTCAGAGTGTGGAAAGAGTTTTAATCACCGGAGTTCTCTCTATCGACACAAGCGGATTCACACAGGAGAGAAACCGTATCGCTGCTCAGAGTGTGGGAAGAGTTTTAATCGACAGAGCTCTCTCAAACAACATCAGCGCATTCACACAGGAGAGAAGCCGTATCACTGCTCAGATTGTGGGAAGAGTTTTAATCAGCAGAATACTCTCCAAGAACACCAGCGCATTCATAGAGGAGAGAGACCATTTCACTGCTCAGAGTGTGAGAAGAGTTTTATTAAACAGAGTCATCTCCTACAACACCAGCGCATTCACACAGGAGAGAAGCCGTATTACTGCTCAGAGTGCGGGAAGAGTTTTAATCAGCTGAGTTCTCTCCATCAACACCAGCGCATTCACACAGGAGACAAACCATATTACTGTTCAGAGTGTGGAAAGAGTTTTACTTTACAGAGTAATTTCCAGCAACACCAGCTCATTCACACAGGAGTTAAATCATATCACTGCTCAGAGTGTGGAAAGAGTTTTAATCAGCAGAGTTCTCTCCTTCGACACCAGCGCATTCACACAGGAGAGAAACCGTATCACTGTACAGATTGTGGGAAAAGATTTAATCGACAGAGCTCTCTCCAACAACACCAGCGCATTCACACAGGAGAGAAGCCGTATCACTGCTCAGAGTGTGGGAAGAGTTTTAATCAACAGAGTGCTCTCCAAGGACATCAGCGCATTCACACAGGAGAGAAGCCGTATCACTGCTCAGAGTGTGGGAAGAGTTTTAGTCGTCAGAGTATTCTCCAACTACACCAGCGCATTCACACAGGACAGAAGCCGTATCACTGCTCAGAGTGTGGGAAGAGTTTTACTTTAAAGAGTTCTCTCCAACGACACCAGCAGATTCACACAGGAGAGAAGCCGTATTACTGTTCAGAGTGTGGGAAGAGTTTCAGGCATTCCAGTACTATGACGACACACAAGTGCACTACAAGCAGTGGTGGAAATGGGCAGTAATGAGTGTAACCTCATTATTCCATTCCTCATTCCAAGTCCACCTTCTGTTGTTTTATGCTGTTTCCAATACATGAGCATAAAATGTAATGAATTTCATTAATAATACTAAAAATATGGTGAAAACAATGTGAAACTCTACATTCAGTAATAATAAGTTATTTTCTAATTCACTGTAGTGTTTCTTTTGCAATAATGGAAGTTTTGACAAACATTTGACAGTGTGATTGGCCCATTGAGTTCCTTTTTTGCTCATTTGTGTCCTGCACGATAACTAATGTTAATGCTGCTATAAAGTAGATACCACCCTGAACACTGCTACAGTGAAGTTTTTGCTGTGCTGGGCAGAAGTGAACATCTTTGTAAAGGAGACATAGGAGTATCACTGCAAGTGATCAAGCTATATGAGTGATGTACTGGTGACCTCTCCTCAGTATGGCCTATGCATGCCTGTTCTACGCAGCATAAAGTCACATACAGACCAGACTACAGCTATAAACATTGAACTATGAACTTTCCATTACTATTTTCAGAGACTTTAAGGACTGTTGTTCTTTGTGATGCTTGGAGAGTGGTTGCTCCTTGAGAAGGATGCTGTGATGTGAAATTTTTTTTCATCCATCTTGATTCTATCCTACCAGACATGGTGGCTGCAGATGGTACAGGAGTTTGAACTGGGTATTTCTACTATCATCCACTCCTGTGTAAAAGAATGGGCCAAGCCCATAATGGCATTTTTCTTTGATTTCTTTAAATGTTGAGGTTAAATCTGGATTTTGACCAGGCCATCAGTAAAAACCATTATATTTTGGGCTTGAACTATTTCTTTTGCCCAGGAGAATGTAACTGGGTGAAGGGTGACCATTTGGAGACCTTCAAGGCCTTGGGCCTGACTAACAGTGACTTTTGCTGATTTCATTAGGATGCAGATTTGAGACAGTCTTTGTTTACTGAACCGAACCGATATGATGCTGTGTACAGTTTTGTTTCTGCATTTGAGTAGTTTTGATTTGCAATGATCAACATGTATGTAATGCTATATGTAGTTTACATATAAAGTGCATTAGGGATGCACCGATTATGGGAATTCTGGGCCACTATCCGATAATTTACATGTAGGTATTGGCCAATACCGATATCAGATATTTCACATTTACATATGTTTACATCTTGGGTATGCAAAACTGCTTTTGTAAAAGGCCATCACAAACTGGATGCATCAGATCACACAGCTTAATATTATTATTTACCCCCTGTTAAGCGAATATCTCCACATGGTCTGCTAGCTGTCTGTACTGTGTGTGAGCTACAGAAAAAATTGTTGTTCGTACACAGCCCTGGCTGTGTAAATGGGAAACGAACAAAAGATTTATAACATACAATACATATTTCAGCCAGTCAGCAACATGGGACATGCATTTGTACAGGACAGGGGGAAGGGGAGGTGCTATGTGCTGGATTCCATGCATTGTTTAGAAGGAGGCATGGCAAAGAAACAGCCAAAGAGGAGAAGATCTGAAGAACGAAAATTGAGAAACAAGTTCCGAGATCAGGCAAGGGGGAGAGCCGTATTAACATCAGTGAGGCTTTTCAGTGGTGCAGAGACCTCTGAAAGTTGACAAGGCTGAAGTTGGCTTCCTGTTCGAATTTTCCCGTGTCACCTTGAATGGAGCAACAGCAACATTTAGGTGCATCGGATTTTCCTGTTCCACATTAAGTGGTGCAGCAGTTCTGGAGTCTGTTGTATGACGCTAACAGAAAGAAACTCACTTCAGCTTTGTCAAGAGTTGAAGGGCATGCAAAAAATGAGGAAATTGTTTTTGTTTAAACGGTGGATAACAATAATAATAATACTGACAATGATAACAATAATGAATTTATTTATATAGCATTTTTCATGCATAAAAAAGCAGCTCAAAGAGATTCACAGTGAAAGTAAATAAAACATCAAAATCATATGTACAAAATAGTAAGTGGCAAAGTAAAAACAATACAATGAAAAATTCTTGTTTAATAAAACTGGTAGTAAATATTAAATAAATAGAAATGTTGAATAATTTAACATTATGAAAAAAAAAATAAAAAATACATACATAAATTTGATCATTTTCAGCTGCTTTTTAAAGCTAGCAACAAATGATTCCTGATGAGTAATCATTGGTAAAGAATTCCAGATTTTTGGTGCATAAAACGCAGCTTCATGAGTCGTTTTGTGCTTCATCCTGGGAAAATTTAATAAAGCAGCACTTGATCTTAAAGCATGATTTGGAACATATTTTGTCGGGCATTCAGGGATGTATGTAGTTGCTAATCCATTAAGAAATTTATAAACCAGTAAATTAATTTTTACATCAATTCTAAATGGGACAGGCAGCCAGTGTGATGATACTAAAACAGATGTTCTCTCTTTTTTGTGTCAGTTAGTACTCTAGCTACAGAGTTCTGAACAAGGTATAGTCAGTTGTGGTTTTGGGTAACCCAGCAAATAATGCATTACCGTCATTAAAAAACAAAAGCATGGATCAGCTTCTCAGCATCTTGCAGTTTGAGAAAAGGTCTAACTGGTATTATATTTCTTAAATGAAAGAATGCTATTTTAGTAACATTACCAGTCAGCTGTGAGGTTAGTTAAGGTGAAGTCTAAAATTACACCAAGATTTCTGATTTAATCTTTTGATTGTGGAGACAAACTTCCTCACAAATTTAAAACTTTTGTTATTAACAGTTATGATCATTTCTTTTTCTTCATTTAATTCCCAAAATTATTGTTCATTCAGTTAGTGATAAAGCACAACAAAAATATTTAATTATGTATCATCGGCATTGCTGTGATAACTGACCACATGCTTTTTAACCCTCTGGGGTCAATAAAGAGGCCGGTGTAGCAAATTAGATGTTTCTGTGTTTCTGTTAATATATTTGTGATAATACAGCGCAGAAATATGCTTTAAACAGCTCCTGAATCTATAGAATCTGCCCTTTTCATTACATTACAAGATCATAGGTGACACATCTAGAGTTATGAGCCAACGAAGATAAATTGAGACACGCCCTCAGCCTTTCATTGTGTAATTGGTGGATTTGCGTTTCCGTCATCTGCCTCACACCTTAATTGGTGGATTCATGTGTCTGTCTATATTTTGCGAGAAACTGACAAATGGACACTCATGAAATTACTAAGGACTTACCTATCATGTTGGAAACACTGTTTTTGTTTTGTCGCTCTTCGGACACAGACGCAAGTGGTGTGTAAAAATTTTGCAGCTGCTGAAGTTGCTGCAGCTGTTTTGGAAAGCAGCGATGAGGATAACATTTATCTCTTATTTTATTCATGCGTTCCACTACTATTGTGAACCTAAGACTTTGGTAAACCCATTTCAAGCACCAAAACAGTTCCTCCACGAATAAAGCTATGTTTTCAGAAGAGAAATTAAGAATTTCTAAAACCAGATTTCATTTTTTTTAGCTTTTTGGCTGAAAAATATATGAATATATGCAAAAATCAAAAAAATGCCTTCAGACCCCAGAGGGTTGATGATATGACCTAATAGAAGCATGTACAAAGAAGAAAGAAGTGGGCCTAATACAGAACCCTGTGGAGCACCACACAGTATGCCATATTTATTAGAGCAATGCTCAGCTAGACTAACAAGGTACTTTCTACTTTTAAGATATGAATGAAACCACTTTAAGACAGTTCCAGACAGGCATGCACAATTTTCGAGGCTGTTCATGATAATATCATAGTATTAAATGCTGCACTTAAATCTAAAAGCACAAGGACAGAATCCCTATTTTTATTACCTGTTGTGCAAATACAATTTTTTTTAATAGTTAAAAATGATATATTTGAAATCTAAAATTATATAAACCCCTGAATCCAGATTTTGTTTCTTAAGTAGAGGCTTGATGACAGCAACCTTGAGAGCATCCAGAAAAATGCCTGTTTTTAAGGAAAAGTTTATGTCTAAAACACTAAAAATAAGGTAAATAAAATGTATTTAAAAATTAAGTTGGAATTGGATCTAAAATACAGGAGGAAGAACTTGATTAAGAAATTATCGTAGAGCTCTAAGTCAGATGTCTTTGTATAATCTAGCATCGTGGATTGTGGTTGAAAAAATATCAGGACTTCAGATCTTGAGTACCTCAGGTTTAATCAAATACCAGTGATTTTAACATTTAAAAAAATGCAAAAGATTCACATTTTGATGTAGATGCTTTGCTTAATCATTTACTGGATTGGGATTTAAAATACAGTCAGTTCTCAAAAATGTAACTGTCCAGCAGAAACAGCAACCTTCTCATCCCTTTTCATGCCTTTCAACTTTCATGATGAAGCTGAAGTCTTCTTTATCGCCAGCTACTTGTTCAAATTTTCCCATTCCACCTTAAATAGTGCAGCAGTTCATTCTCTGCTCAGGACACCATCACTCCATTATATATTTACACAGATAATAGTTGTTGGCTGATAATATTAATGTTTAAAATGTTGTATATAGAACCTTTTAAATATGTCAACCCTTTCACGCACTGCTATGTTTTTAGGAAAAAGCGGTCTATTGTTTAAAACATCTAAAGCATTCAAGGTTGATGGCTTTAAAATACTGTTTCTTTCCAACATCCAGATTCTTAACTCTTATTTGTATTGATTCATGTTTTAAAATACACTCAGTAGTGATCTGAAACTGCAACATTTACAATTTCTTCTATGTTTAAACACAAACTGCAGGAAATAACTAGATCTACTGCATGTCCTCAGTTACAGGTGAGGTTTGTAACATGCTGGTTAAATATTAGTGTTTTTAAAATCTGTACATAATCCATGGCTTTTCTGTCTAAGGCATTATCAATATGGAAATTAAAATCACATAGATAATAGTGCAGAGAACAAAGAAGGTGGGTGTGTATTTTGGCAAGCGGTAAACAGTCAGCAGCAGTACTGGCTAAATATTCTAAAGATGGGAAGATACCAAAGGATATGTTTTGGCAGTTAAAA